GGCTGTCATTTCTTTTAACAAGTCGAACCAGTAAATCCAGAAGGACATTGGCAAGTGTAGCTATCAACACCATCTTTGCATGTTCCACCGTTTTTGCAAGGATTGGGTGAACAATCATCGATGTTTACTGAACAAGTCGAACCAGTAAATCCAGCAGAACACTGGCAAGTGTAGCTATCAACACCATCTTTGCATGTTCCACCGTTTTTGCAAGGATTGGGTGAACAATCATCGATGTTTACTGAACAAGTCGAGCCAGTAAATCCAGCAGAACACTGGCAACTGTAACTATCAACATCATCTTTGCATGTTCCACCGTTTTTACAAGGATTAGGTGTGCAATCATCAATGTTCATTGAGCATGCTGAGCCGGTAAAACCATTCGAGCAATTACATTTGTAGCTTCCAAGAAGGTTTTGACAAGTGCCATTATTGCGACATGGTTTATCGAGACATTCGTCTATATCGGTCTCACACTTTCGTCCTTTAAACCCATTTAAACACGCACATGTGAAATTGGAAAAAGGGCTCGTAGAATTGAAATAACACGTTCCATTATTTACACAAGGGTTAGAAGCACACTTATCTATAGGTGTGTTACACGAACTCCCTGTAAATCCCTGAACACAATTATCACAATATCGACCAGTGAATTGTGCTTGGCATTTACAAGTATAGTTGTTGTTTCCTTGAAAACAGCTTCCATTTTTACAGCGATGATTATAACATGTGTTGAGAGTCTGGCAGCTTTTTCCTTCAAAACCAGGTACACAGGTGCAGTTGTAGTCTTCAATTCCATCAAYACACGTTCCGCCATGTTGGCAGGGTGAGCTTGCGCAATTGTCAATTCTTGTTTCACAGTTCTTTCCAGAGAAATCYTTGGCACATGTGCAGTTATATCCACCGCTTGATAAACGGTAGCAAGTAGCATTATTTCTACAAGGAAACGAGGTACATGGATTGATAGAAATGCTACAATATTCCCCAGTAATTCCTTTCGGGCAAACACAATTGAACCCCGTTGTTGTATTCATGCAAGTAGCGCCATTGCTGCAATTGTGAGCATTGCAGTCTGGTAATCGGTTGGTACAGTTCACCCCAATCCATCGTGGTAAACAGGTACAGTTGAACGAGCTGCCCTGGTCCACGCATGCGCTGTTTCCAGGGCAGGGATTGGAATCACATGACGAGTTCCTTATCAACACCATCTTTGCATGTTCCACCGTTTTTGCAAGGATTGGGTGAACAATCATCGATGTTTACTGAACAAGTCGAACCAGTAAATCCAGAAGGACATTGGCAAGTGTAGCTATCA